CTCCAGATCCCAACAATTCTGCTAACAACAATAATAATCTTTTAACTATTATTGAAATATTAGGAACCACATTAACCATATTAACTACTATTGTAACTGTATTAATATTTTGTATCAAAATAATACAAAAGAAGAAAAGAAACTATAAAAACAAATTAAATGAAAGACCACAATTACTAGTATCTAGACTTACTGAGCAACAAGCACCTTTTGCCAGACCGCCAGCCAGAACACTTAATCAAGAACAAGTTCAAAGTTTAGCCAACGATATAAAAAACAATCAACGCAACAATAGACAATTCCAAGAAATAGGAACCAGATTACCACAGCAACCTCAATTAACTAGACTAAAAAGACCAGGCAAATTTAAACGAGTACCAACACCACAACAATCACAAGCAGAACAAACAGATTCTGACAATTGGTTCACTAACGCTTCATATAACCGAACTTTTATTTAAATGCAATTGAATAAGAAACATACTATTATTATTACAACTTTATCAATTATCTTTGCTATTATACTTACTATAATTCTTCTACAAGAACCACCTTAGACACAAATAACTATAACTGAAATTGTACTCATAACTACAGTTATAACAGGATTAGAATTGGTAGTATATACCACTCTACAACCTATTATTGTTAATGAAAACAACTGAAACTCCAATTATTATCTGCAACAATACTATACTTCAACCACTGGCATCAACATTACTGTTAATACTAATATTCACTATACTTTTGTGGATATTAACTATAATTACCATTTGCTGTATTCAACAACGAAGTAAGAAACGCTTATACAAGCAAAACCCAAATCTAGCCTATTACCAACAAGAATCTACAGGCTGTTGTTAAAGAAACTAATAACCACTGCAATACCCATATCTCCACCTGATACCACCACTACAATAATTATTACTGCAACAATTATTAGAACCTTCTTGATAATATTAATTATCATTGCAACTATTATATATCACACTTGTCACAAACAAAAAATTAGAAATCGACAAAAGAAACAAAAGAAACAAATACAACTTAGAAATATATACCAATAACGAATACCAATATCTTTACAACAAGACGAAAACCTATTTGACGGACAATACAATTAATGTTTTGTATCTTCAACCGAAAGAAGAAAAGAAGTATTAAAAGGAAACAATTATATAAACAAAGAAGAAACTTCAATATTACAAACCAACAACAATTAATTAATAACAAATTAGGAAGAAACACTCAAAATATATATTTTCTATTTGGAGACACATCAAAAACCTAAATGAAACTACCGTTAATATTACTATTAATATTAATATTAGTAATATTAGTTGTAGGACAATAACAATTTACATTCATTACACTAAATATACCAATACCAACAGTAACCGAAATAATCACAGAATTCATTACAGCAACACCTGTAATTACAACAATACCTACTACAGTAATTGAAACCATAACAGCAAACGTAACCAAACGCCAAGTTACTTTAATGACCCAAATATCATAACCCAAGATATTGCAACAGTCATAGCAATTATAACTATCGCAGAAGTAATAGCTTACGTAAAATACTGAGCTCATATCTAAAAGAAACTCAATATTGCAGACAAATATACAACAACAATTCAAAGACAAAGAGAAATAATTAATAATACAATCACACTCATAATGAATGTCTAACAAAAAAACCCGATATAAGGACACAGAAAACCAACCTTATTATCTATACCAAACAGTAGATGAAATACTTGAAGAATTAGAAGAATTGAAAGGGAACAAAACCAAATCAAGGAACAAGAAACAGAATACAAATATATAGAATTATCAAAAGAAGAAGTAATTTATTACAAAAGCAAAATAATAATTGATTAAAGGAAAGCAGCAAACGAAACTGTAATTCAAGCATTTATTATTAACTCAATAAGAAGAAACGAGAAACCTGAATACATTGAAACAATTGCAAAAGACTACCAACAGAATTTTAAAAAATTAACAAAACTCACAGAAAAATATCGCATTAAATACAACAACAACGAGAAGGAATAATTAAGATAACAGACCGAGAACTTAACCACTAGCTAATACAATATCCATTATCAGTAGATAGACTAGAAACTAAAAAAGCATACCATGACTTATTCAAAATATATTTTGGAAGATACTACCCAGAATTTACACAATAACGGCAAAAGAAAAGGAAAAAATAGACAAAACAATTACCAAATTAAATGAATTATATTTTGAAATTGACGGAACAATAAAGAAACCAAACTACCTAATCAATCATATCTTTGCATACCTAAAATACGGACATATAACAAACCAACCACAAGTAATTCAAAAGAGACTAAAATTAGCAAAACTAACACCATTTGATTATATCCAATTTTGTTTATACGCAGAGATTAGACCACTGATATAGCCGCTGCAATAACAACTCAATTTGTTGACCTCTCGAAGCTGGACTTCAATGAGATGATGAGAAATTGGAAATGTAACAGAGACAACTAGCTAGAATAGAACTTAGTATTTGAAAAAAGATTAGAACCAAAAATACCACTCACAATAATGGCAACTGGACACTTTAATGGAACACCTGCACTAGGATAGACAGCAACAGCAATGACACAAAATACAATACGAGATAATGTAACCGGAATGTTTAACGTATATTTCATAAAACGAGACATAATTAAAGTAGTAACAAAATGCTTTACTAAAGACTTACAAAGGAAACTTGAATCCAAAATAGATTTATTCAATTGCTGGTTCCTCAGTGATTGGAATAAAGGAGCAGACAGATATGGACAGAGAAAACCACTACATAAATAAAAATGTAATTATAGCACTGCATGTGCAGATGATCTAACTATCGCAAGAGCAATATGCCTAAACTCTATACAATTTCCAGAAACCTTAAACCAAAAATAACTAACATGCAACTAGGAGGAAGAACAAAAATAGGACAAGATACTCTTGCAGAATACAATAACACAGCAAATGTAGCCTCAACACAAATATTATTTAGACTACATATAGATAAAATGCATGTAACAGGAGCATGGATTGAAGAAGCACAAAAAGCATTTTCAGAAGGACTATCATGGAGACCACAATATCCAATAAATAGACATAAAGCAGAGGAATTCGAAGCAGAATTCCACAAACAAATAAAAATATCAAACTACAAACAAGATTTCGCAACAGAACTTAAAATCTTGATGAAAAGGATGTTACTGCCAAGAAGACACTATGGAGAAAACTATTGGAGTCAAATGGTATCATACGATCCAAATATAAATTCAGAGAATCATTTTGGGCTGCAATACACCGAACATATGCATTCTACAAAACATCAGAAGTAGGAGACTTCTTTAGAAACAGAAAACGGAAGGAAGCAAATAGCATCCAATTCCAGAAAAGAAACTTTACACCTAAATATAATCTGAAAGTACCACAACCTACAGAAAACTTCACTTTCAAACTACAGAAAGAAATCTACCTTCAGGATAGGCCTAAAAAGACACCAAAAGAAAGAAACTATGGCATTGTAGATATATGCAACTTACAATGTTATGCATGTGGAAAGAAAGAACATTTCTTTAAAGATTGCAACCAAAAACAATACTTTAAAGGATTTAAATCTTTTTATAACAAAAGATATAATACTTACAGAGGAAAGGGACAAAGAAACCGAAACCAACCTCAAAACCAGAATAAATTTCAAAAAGCATTTAACTCACAAAGAATTGGAAGATCTTCAAGAATACAAGAAGCAACTACTGTATTCACACCAAAACCAATAGCTCAATTTCAACAGGAACAATGCTTCAAAGAAGCATCGAAACCTACTATGACATTCAACCAATATAAGCAACTATGAGCTAAAAGATATATGGCAAATAAAAGAAAACTATATATACCTCAAACTAAACAAGGACCATTCAGACCAGGAAGATTCGACCCTAAATATGGAATCATCTTTAAGAAACCTGAAAAAACTCAAAACAATTGAAACTTTAAAAGATTAAAAAGAAAGTATAATTCCAGATCACCAACTTGTACCAATTGTGAATCATACTCTCATACAACTAAAGATTGCTATAAAAATGCTTCACTAATAGAAACCAACTATTTGAACAAAAGAAACAAAAAAACTTACTATCAAGAAGAATCTTCGGATTCAGAAGCAACCTACATTGACTACGATGAAGTAGCCAAATATAAAGAATTCAAGAAATATAAAGAAGCAATCAATGCATACAGAAATAGTACCAAAGACTGTTATAACAGAAAAGAAACGTCAAATCTCGAAACTGTCAATAACAAAATGAAGAAACTAAGTATACAATCAAAACAAAGAACTCAACATGAAGACTATGAACAACAGTACTTCATGTAGAAGGTATGCCCTATACTCACGACCTACCTCCAATCCCTTATACTGGTTGTATAGGAGAGTTTATTTATAATTCAAAATGTAATAAAGAAATATATAATTATAACAAAATATTGAATAAAAGAAACCAATTTGAAAATAATATAAACTCTGCCAAATATCAAAATTAATATTTTCCTGAACAAACTATTATAAATCCAAAAAAACCTAAAGCACCTAAAGGCTTTTACTTTATTGCTTTAATTAACGACATACTAATAGAATGTAAACTAGATGAAGACTCGACTAATAGTATTATGGGGATAAACCATGCCTATCTACTAGGATTATACAATATAACAAACAATCCAGCTACCGCACAAGCAGTAGAAAACAAAGTCCAAATATTAGGAAAAATGATTGTTGATATTAAAATCAATAAATTCCTGACCCGAAACATTAAAATAGATGTTCTGGATACTCACTCAGATTATATCCTTATAAGTAACAAAACCCAAGCAGTCCTAGGTATCAAAAAAGATACTATAAATCACTTCATACTTATCAATTCAAAACCAATCTATAATCAACGAACCTATAGCCAAGGCAACAGTAAGGTCAACTCATTTGAAAGGAACCTCAGTTCTCAGTATTATGAGCACCGTTCTCACCGACTGATCAAGGATTTTAGTTGCAAAAATCCGAGATAGCAAGAGAACAAGGCGCCCAACATGTTGAAAAACCAAAATATTCATCAAAACGGGACCAACCCACACCAATATATAATGAACAACGTGCTAAATAAAGCTCCAACAATAAATGAAATGCAACAAAACCAATATTATGCAATAAGTCCATCACAAAACCTACAAAACTGTCCAAAGCTCCAATTTAAAGAAACTAATAACACTTGAAAACAAAGCTCCACCACTACTACGCAACATAATCATCCACAAATAACAAGACAACATATTACAGAATCAGCTATCCAACTATTCTTTAGAATATGTGAAATTAATAAACAAAGAAACAAATCTATAGGCATGACTTGTG